CAGAATGACTCAAACTTGGCATATAATTCCTGCATCTCTCAGTCCTCATTAGTTTACAGATTTATGGTGGATTTGCTAGAAGTAACAGGAAAGGAGTTGGTTTCATCCTAATTCTGGCCTCCCCTAAGAAATTTTTCTCTCCAAGAATCTTCAGGAGCATCCTAGAGACCACCTACCCTGTTCAGAATTGTGCTTTGTACAACCACGCTGTGTTCCCAGCAGTGTTTGCTGTGGCTTTGGCTTGGTCCAGCTCCCCAGGCAGTTGCGGAGCTCCAGGCTTGGCAAAGCTCAGGGGGAGAAAGAGGAGTTGTGCGGCGGAGCCAAGAGGCTTTGGGAAAGACATCTTTGATATAGGCGTTAATGAATTTCTAAATGAGCTTCTGTGTGTTAACCTGATAAGACTCTCCAGGGAGAAGGTCACCCTTACCTTTGCAGCTCTAAATGTAAGACACGTGTTGCAAGAAAAAAATGAGAATTGTCAATTGCAGTGTGAAAATGAAGAGACTGGGTATAAATATTGAACCAGTTTTAATGTTAAGTTTATGAAATATAAGCCTTTCAGGAGAACTGGCTCAGGGTACATTTGTTGGAGTCAATGACCTACTTTGTTTATGTTACTGGTATATACACTTTAAAGGGAAACCCAAAATAGCACAAAAAAAATTAAAAAAGGCTAATGAAAGGTAAAGCATAGTGATTAAGAACGTGAATTTTGGAATCAAATTGCCTGGGCAAACCATAACTCTGCTGTTCCCTGGATGTGTGACCTCAGGCAGGTTACCTGATCTCTTTATGCCACATTTTTCTCATCTGTAAAATGGGATAATAAGTGTACCCGCCTCACTGAATTGTTATGAGATTAAGAGTTAATACCTATAAAGGGCTTTCCATTGTGGCTGGCACATAGTTAGTCTTCAGTAAATACTAGTTATTATCACTAGGTCGGGTTGCTGGAGAGAAGGAAGAGGGAAAAAATGATCTTCTGTTAGAGTTTTTGTAAAGTGCAGCATTAGAGTGTCACTCTGGCAGCACAGGAAAACTCATCTTTGGGCAGGGGACAACTTTACAAGTAAAACCAGGTAGGTCTGAGTGTCCCCGAGCAAGCCCTAACTGCCCACTGTCTTCATTTTTTGGTTCATTCTCTGCTTTTTCCACTTCTAACCAAAGACACTTATTTTTAGGTTTTATTTTCCTTTATAAGAGTTAGTAGAATGTGTGTAAAGCCCAGCTAATAGAGACTTTTCTAACCCATTTAGTTTCAGCTAGAGGCAAAAACTGGGGCAAGACTTGGGGTGATTTGGGTCTGGAATTTCTAGGCTAAGATGGAGAGAATATAAGTTTGGCTGACATTGGAGAAATAAAAACATTAAATGTGAGAGAGTCACAAAAAAATAAATATGACTTTACATAATAGTATACCAGAGTAGAAAACCACTAGAATTCTCTAAGAACTGTCTTTCAGGGAGAGGACTGTCTTTCAAGCATAGAAACGACAAGCTTTTGTTAAAAAAAAAAAATGAGGAGGAGAGAAGTGAGATTGTTGGTCATTTGGATTTTTTTGTTAAGAAACATGGAAGATAACATCTTCCACAGGGTGGTTTTTAAAAGGCTATCACCAAGCAGGAGTCAAAATGCATATAGCATACCCCTGGTGAGCTTTAGAGAGGAAGAAGAGGAAGAAATTTAGCAAGGTGTTTTTGTACTGGGCAGAAACACTGTGCCAATTCTGCGGCAAGCAAGCTTGTCTTTGGAACTGGAACAAGACTCACCATTATTCCCCGTAAGTCCTTGACCACTTGAGAAAAAGCCCTTAATCTATAATGACCGGCTCTCACATCCCAGACATCTAATGAATTTCCAAATGAGCTTCCGTGTGTTAACCCGATAAGATTCTCCAGGGAGAAGGTCACCCTTACTTTCCTGGCTCTAAATGTAAGATGTGTTATAAGAAAAAAAATGGGAAATGTCAATTGCAGTGCCAAAATACAGAGAGTGGGTATAAATATTGGACCAGTTTTAATATTAAGTTTATAAAATGTAACCCTTTCAGAAGAACCATTTCGAGGCACATTTATTAGTTTGTTTCTACACAGCACAGCTGTCCAGTTAATCTGATTAATGTCAGTAGCTGATCTAGATGTTTAGGCACTTCTTTGAGAAAGCTTCTTTGTGCTCAAAATTACCTGAATTGACTGTCACATTACCTAAGTAATTGCCAGATCTGTTTTACTTTGTGCTGTATAGACTCAGCCTAATAAAAACAAATGCTGTTGTGTTTTTTCCCCAGTCTGTCTCCTCTCCACACAGAAAGTTTTCCTCCTATTCAACAGCATCTCTTCACACAAAGAAAAGATACCCAGCAAGCCATTTGACTTATTGTTGCTACTATTTTGCATTTATATGACTCCTTTCCTTGGAAGAGATTAAGACACTTCATACGACTTATTAGTTTAACAGATTGACAGCCTAATTAGAAAGAGAGAAACAGATTCTGAGTATCTTTTTGTGGCTGCTGCTTCTGCCTCCTCCTGTAAAACATTTGGTCAGATTGCTCTGTGAGACAGAAAGAAAGAAGGGAGATGCTCTTCGTTTGTAGTGTGAGTCTTCTCGGCTGCATGTGAGAGGTTGTTACAGGAGGTAAAACAGTACTAAATAGGTCAGGGCAACTGACAGAGCCAGGAACAGTTCTTTTCCCTAGAACTCAGGGTTCTCATAAAGCAGAGTATTACGAATTTTGACATCAGCCATTGGTATGTGTGTGTCTACTCTTCTTACTTTTGTTTCCAGACCCTTCCACTCCAGGTCTGTTCCTTCCATCTCTAACTTCTCTGTCTAACTTCCTTCTCTCTCCTTTGATTCCTGACAACCATGCCCACCCCAGCACCAACCCCACCACGTACTGCCACTTGCCTCTTCAGCCTGTCGGTTGTATTTCTGAGGAGTTTCTTAGCTCCTTGAGTGATCCTCAGGTGCTTAAGCACCTGAGGGAAACTTCCCTGGGGGTGGGCCCCAACAGAGACCCCACGGAGGTGGAGGTGGCTACCACGGACCACTGAACGCCTTCAATCAGGCTGGAGCTGGGGCCAGGATGAGGAAAAGCCTGTAGAGGAATGTCTACCATGGAATAAGGAATACCATGGCTTTCATGATACATGTGTCTGAATCCTCTCCTACCTGGGAAACTGTAGCTTCCACCTTGGGACTCGAGACGTGAGGCCACGAAGAGGTGGCAGGGTTTTTGTAATAGAGTCAGTCATTGTGGACAGACAGGCTCTGGGGTTACGCTGCATTTCGGGTCTGGCACTAAAGTGATTGTTACACCACGTAAGTGTGTCTTTTCTCATTTCTGTGGGCTAGTATGTCTGTAAATCATATAGAGGAGTTCTTTTTTTCCCCCATTTCTCAGCTAGTCACTGATACGATGCAATTTCTGGATCTAGCTACACTGCCAGTTTGACCATTAGGATGGTCAAATTTATTTTTAAAAATAACTTTGACTGGTTTCATTAATGATGCCAAGAGCAAAAGGAAATTAATATGTGATGGGGACCTAATCTATGCTCATTCACTGCTGTGGGAGGACGGTCATTTCTTCCTATCCCCTGGCAGTTAGACTTCAGAATTCAGCTGACCTTTTCCGGGACTGTCTCTTCTGGCAGATTAAGTGGTTGTGTCCACTTTCTTGTGGAAAAACACACGAGACAGATATATTCTCCTTCAGTTTTTACTAAGAAAGCTTTCTGTTGGTTATTTTGACAATACACTGCAGCTGACATATTCCCTCCTATTCATGTTACTAAGATCTTGGCTTGAACCAGCACATTTTCCCCACATTATTCACAATGCATTTCTATGTTGTAACCCACAGTACCACCACCAGCCCTTTATCTTCACCACATTCTCTAGTAAAGTAAACAGGGTCACACATCACCAAACATATTTCACAGACAGAAAAGCCGAAGCACAGACAAGTTAAACAATTTAAGTCAAGCCAAAAAAAATCAGAACTGGGATTAGAGCTTGAGATTCTCCGTTTTCATAGGATGAATTATCTTCAGCTGTCACCTTTGTGAATTGAAAACATAATAAGCACAGGCCATAGAGATTTGTAGGGGTTGAAACATAACCAAAACAAAAACTGACTGTTTCATTGCATTGGTGTTTTAAAGGTATCCCCAGATCTTCTTTACTGTTGGTAGTTATTTGGTGCCAGGGACGGGAAAGGGCAGAGGTCCCAGATATAAAGGCAGAGGGCCCTGCTGGGCTCAGGGGGTTTTTGTAGGCCTCAGTATCACTGCGTTCCCCAATACTGACAAACTCATCTTTGGGGCTGGAACCAGATTACAAGTCTTTCCAAGTAAGTACTAGAAACCAAGGAGCGATTTTGAAAAGGTGTTTTCTATAAACAGCCACCTCATTTTGGTATGTTCTCATGCTACTGCAGGCCATCCGTGCCAACACTTCACTCTGTGGGGGCGTCCACGCCTCTATCTGCCTGGGTCCATGTTCCCTCAGGACGCCATTTCTCACAGACAGAGCTCTCTGTAAACCAAATCAGTTTAATCTGGATGTGAATACCATGGTTCTGACTAGAATTTTATCAGCAGTGAAGATGACACTAGAGATTCAGATGCATTATGACTCCAAACAAATGATGTGTTTCTCTCTTTTGCATTTTTATGTAAAATATCAGGGAAGGTGAAGCAAGTTCAACTTCTCCAATTTGAAAACTGTTTCTGAATTATGCTTCCCTTATGTGCAAAGAGACCTAGATTGACTTTGGATGTTTAGTCATTCAATCTCATCCTCTGTGTCTGGAATCTATAATGGGCGAGGGAATCAAATGTAATTAAATGAGCAAATAATCTTCAATAGTCAATATTCCTACATTGTTTTATGTGCTTTGCTCTGGACTTTTTATCTGGGCTTTATCTCTAATAGGCTCCCCGGAAGGACAGTGAAGGTTTTTGTTAAGGTCTTTATGTCTGTGTGGATAGCAGCTATCAGTTGATCTGGGGCTCTGGGACCAAGCTAATCATAAAGCCAGGTAAGTCTCAGAGATGTGACTGTGAGGGAGAGGAGACATGGGTTGAATAATATATGAAGCATCACATGCAAATTATATTTTTAACAACAATCCAGACTGCTGGAGACAATGCAGTTGACCCAAATGGGGTTTTTACTCCCTGTGAGAGACAATGTCAGCCACCAACTCTCTTGTTTGGTCTAGTGGCTTCCAAAATGAATAATGCTTAACTAGCCCTTTAAGAGAGCAGAGCTGGGTTGTTACGGAGTGTCTAATTCCCTCTAATATGGTGGGAATTCTTTCCCAAAGATAGAACCAGCCTCATTCCATTGGAAGAGCAAATTCAGAGAAAAGGGAAATGTCCACAGTCAAAGACCAGGGGGTGAAAATTAGTGTGTCTGCAGCTCTCCCACATCCTCGCCTCTGGCTGCTATCCCGCGTGGGGAGCAGATGCCTGCAAAGCTCCCAGTCACTCGCTGGTGACCCACCCAGGGTTCTGGGCCTTAGCGCAAGCCCCACAAGGACATAGCTTAAAAGGCGGTGTCAAGGCATGTCAGGGGAATACGGGGGCTGACGGGATACCTGGCAAGTCGGAATTTGCAGTGGCGGGACCGAGGGGTTCTTAGCCTGGAAAGACTAAGCCCGTCCTCACCCATCCCACCATGCCCCTTCCTGAGGTTATTGTAAGGCTCTGAAGGACTGTGTGAATTATGGGGGTGCTACAAACAAGCTCGTCTTTGGAACCGGCACTCTGCTTTCTGTCAAGCCAAGTACGTGAGTAGTGGGATTGTGTGTCCGGGGCAAGTGGGAAGTAACAGCCACTCTGGTGAAAAGGAGTGCTGAAGGTAAACTTAGTACCCTACGGTCATCCCTTATCTACCATAACACGGCAGGCTTTCAAAATTCCCCATTCTCCTGGATGGCACCCCACAGTCAGAGAATGGGAAATGGGCTAATGTTAAGATAAATCCCAGGAATAAAAACTGTGCCAAAATTGTCCCCATCTCAATGCTCTAGGCGTTCTTCTCTGTGACAGTATTTCCAGGCCATTTACCATCTCTGGTCCTACCTTTACCTGTGTAGATACAGCCTCTGCTGACGTGTTCACACAATTGTGAATCGGCTGGTCCAAGCACCTTCTTCTACAGGCCATTATCTTCTTTTTCTCCAAAAGAGACTCCAGAGCTGTACTTGGAGAGATTGCTGAGAATGCAGGCAAAACTGACCCAGGGCTGGAGGAGGGCAGGGAAGGGGCTGAGGGTAGGTTACCTCAGTATTCAAACTGTGACCCAGGTAACACCTTCCCTATTTTTCCTACATTTGCTTCCCCTTTCATTTTCCCTAGAACATGTCCTTTTGGTTTGTTCTGGACACCTACTGCTCCCGGGCTGGGAGTTCCTTACATCGGTTTTGAACTCTTTCTCTTCAAATATGAAGAATCAAAAAGTCACAGTCATGTTGGGGATGAGATCAAGTCTCCTTCTCTCTCCCAGCTCAAAATTCTATCACTCAAGCTCTGCTTTTAACCAAGACTTAGTATCACACTATCTTGGATGCTCACTTCTCTCTCTGTTCTTCGATACTTAGTGTATATGAAAACCCAGCCCATGCTCAGCTTTGTGATAAAGGAGCTCTTGTGTGCTCTTATCCTGGCCTCTAGCATACAACCATTTTTATAACAGAAAACATTCTCTTCTTTCATTTATTTCAGGACTGGACTTTTTTATAGTATAGGAGATGGTGTGTCCTAACTCCCCACCCTTGTCTGTCTGAGTCCATGATATGAGTCCGTATGAGTCCATGATGGAACTTCTTTGGGAAAAGATAAGACTGTTTGCCTTTTGTTACTCTTCCCTGGTGAAATGTCTTCTTGGGTATTCCACAGACACTACTACTCAGTGAGAAAGCTTTGAAATAACTTGACCAGTGAGTAGAGGACAGGACCGTGGAGTTTGTGTGGAGTCTGAATGTGAGTTCAGATGGCTCTGCAGCTGGAAAACATCCCTGTGGATACAGGAATGCATCATTCCTTCAGACCTGTGTGTCTGAGGCTGAGCTCACACATATGAGAGCAAGTGTCATTAATTATTTGATTCAGCTTTAGCAGATTTAAGCCTAGAAATGCAAAAGGGTCTTAAGAGCTCGTAAGTTTTGTGTTTTTAAATAAAAATGGTTTGCTTTATTTAGAAGAACCAATTTTTTTCCTATCATAAAAGGCCAATTTCCAGAGACATAGAAAAAAAAATCAGGAGAGTCCAATTGCCCCTCACCACCGAGCCATGTGTTTGGTGAGGTTTTACTAGGGGTTTCAGTAAAGGCAGGAAATGCTGTGGGAATAGCAATGCCAGATTCTTCTTTGGAACTGGAACCCAGCTGATGGTAAAGCCCAGTAAGTGGCCATGTTTTATTTATATTTGACCAAACAAATAAATCCTGTGAAGTTAGTGGAGATTTAATTTAATATGTAGACAAATGTACTTTTTGAAAAATGACTTTTGCAAATGCATAAAGCATTCATGATTGTTGAGAATAGAGCAATAATGATAAATAGATGCAAAATGAGACCATCCCAAATTGCCTTTAATATAGTAGCTCAGCTCTCTTTCCATCAAGAGATATTGGGGCCATGAGTTATTTACAGCCACAGTTTCTCTTAAATGATGTTCTGCAATGATTTGTGTGTTTACTATGATTTTGCCCACAGAACTTGTCTTCTGTTCTATTAAAAATGAGAATCTATCTCATTTTAAATGCTACTAATATGTATAAGGCACCTTCTTTGTCTCTTCTGCCTGAATATGTATTTAAAAGATCAAATAGGAAACCCAAGCATTGTCCCATTTTGACAAACGTTCACATCTAGTCCCTTACATGTCAAATTTCACTAACACACAGCTTTACTATTCAAATGCAATCGGGGAAAAAAGCAATTCAGAGACGAATTGACAATCCCAGATGGCTTTATAAATACCTGAAAGGAAAGTCAGAGTGAAATAAAATGGCAGGCACGATGACAAGATTTTTGTTTAATGATCAATTTCTCCATGGGGAGTAAATACTTTTTAAATATACTGATTGGGAAGGAGGGAAATAAGGAATTCAGGAGCCTGGTATTCCTGGGGGTGCCCCTGGGGTATCAATTCCTCCACAGTGACATTTTGGGGACCAGAGGACCCATCAAAATGTCAGTCAAAATAGTAATGTTAAGAGGCAGGTGTTGTCAGGTTGACTGACTGAGTCATTAAACAGTACAACAGGTTATAATTGAGACTATGGAATGACCAACCCAAGGAGCTTTAAAATAGTAGCCTAGTTTTGAATGGTTTAGCTGTGGGAAATGCCCAAAGACAAGGAAACAAGCTGGATTACTCCCTAAATTTGCTTTAGATCTAGTAAACATGACCAATCCATGTTAATTGTTTTCAATGACTGTGACAAAGAGCATTTTTGGGGTCAGGTATAGAATGAAGAGGAGACAGTGGGGCTTGGTTCTTTATGATTCAAGCAAAGACCTGGGCTGGTGGTAATGGCATCAGGTTTCTATCGCTTGGTGGTGAGAAACCATATCCATGGACTATGAAAGGAGAACGTTTCCTGAAAGTCTGGGATCCCTCTGGGCCAAAATTAATGATCCCACTGCTCCCAGCGAGGGCAGGGCTATAACGGGTGCAGCAAACATGTGCTTAGCCTAAGGTGAGGTATCTTCAGAGTCTGGTGATATGACTCCTCTAGAACAGAGCTGAGGGTGAGGTGAGGGCTCTGTAATGCTGTTCTATCTTGGGTGGAAATTCAGATGTGTGTCTGACATGGCCCGTTCCTGCCCTCATCTTTCTTTGGGCTCTGAAGAGTGGATTTCTAGCTCAGTGGCTGTCTGCCCAGCCATTTTTTGCCTGTAGTAAGAGAATTATGTTTGATATCACAAAGGAGTTTGTTGAATTGCTGCTTTTATAACTCACTCTCAGAGTTAAATGAGGTCATCCAATTTCCTCTCTGCGTATTTGCAATAAGCAGCATAAAATTCAAGCAAAACAACTAGAAGACACAGAAAAAGATGGCTGAAGAGATAATGGGGCCTGTTTATTATAATAAAGGAGACAGTGTGAGAATCTCTTTAGTCCCATGAAGGTGAAATATCCATCAGGGGATGCGTAGCTTTCCTGAAAAGAGTGACTAGGAGTTTTTGTTGTGGTCCCAGTCATGGTGTGAACAAAGTTCTGACAAAATCGTCTTTGGAAAAGGGACTCAACTTCATGTTCTCCCCAGTAAGTGCTTTCATGTGATTTTCTGATATTGACTCCCATTGAATTGAAAGTGATTTTTGTGTTGGGTGGGGAAAGTTTCCTAGGCTCTCAGACCTGTGGGTAGCCTCTAGGTCCTGTACCCTTCCACTCTCAGACAGGCCCAGCCCTTGGGCCTTCAGCAGCTCAGGCAAATACCAAATTCTCTCCCCTCTAGAGCTTGGAAAGTTGCTGCCAGTGTTCTGTTGCTTAAATGTCAATTATCTTTTTCATTGTTTATATATCATGAAGAGTAAAAATTCATGAAACTTTGTCCAGAGTCCATCTTCAAGTCTTCCCCAGGCATGTCCCTGGTGGACTTTGTTTGGACACATTGTTAAAGTGGGTATGATTTCTGGCTCCAACCAGATTGGTTTTGGAAATGACCCCAGCCTACCTATGACCCCTCTCCTTCTAGCCGTGACAGTAGACCTATTTTTCTCTGTTTGGCCTCTGCTAAGACTCCTGGCTCTGATACCCATGCTTCCTCTTTTCCCTTGTTCCAGGGATGGGAGAGAGAGAACTTTTTTAAGAGCTACTTTAATGCCAGAGACAACAAAGTTGGCATGTCAGCCAAGAGCAACATCTTGTGTTGAGCCTTCTCATTCTGTGCCATTTTCCAAATCCTTTTCTTTATTTAGGAAAAGTAACCCCTCCTTTTTATTTCTAGCACTGATAAGAGTTCACTATGAGGTCACAGACAGGAGTTTCCTTTGGAATATTTTTCACAGGCTAACAATAAGC